ATACAAATCTTTGTTTTACTATGGTTGCAAATATCAAAAAATTTCTATATATGACACAGCATCTGAGTTAAGTTAGGGTTTTTCAAAATGCTGACACGCCGAGCTCAAAAGGTTCGTCATCACTGAGCTAGGATGAGCTCTCCAAAGGCTGGCCATCTAAGGTACCCTACAACCTGGCCACACCCCGCCCATCCTTCCTGTCCCCTTGCACAGAGCAGCACAAGCCCTCTGAGTCAGACTCTGCACATAGCCGCATAGCCGGCAGCTCGGCTCAGCTGTGACTCCAGCCTTAGCCCTGTCCCTCCATTAACAATTCTCCTACTTTTCTTCTTCTTTGTTTAAAGTCTAGTCCTTCTTGTGACCCAGGTCAAACCCTAGTTCCCCCTGAAGGCTTCTCTGGCTGCTGTCCTTTCACCACCGTTGAGTCCCTGCACAACTTTGGTCTCTGCTGTTCCTTTACTCTTAGTCACACGCTGCCTGGCATTGTTGTTGCCATTTTTTACCTGTTTCTGTCTTTCCAACTAGATACTAAAGCCCCAGGGACTGTGGCTTACTCATCTTTCACTTCTTTTGTATTTCTTGCAGCACTAAAATGGTGCTGTGCATTTATTAGGCACTTAATGAATATTTTTTTCTTTAAGCCACTCAACATAAGATTCCTGTACTTAAAAATCTGAGAAATAAAGGGAATCCACCCCCCATTTGGTAACTCTCACCAAATTGCATGATAACTGTCTGCTTCTGAAGGAACATCATTTTCTAGGTGTCTCTCCACTCGTGAGTGCACAGGGGCGCTCCTCTGTGACGGGCGCTGAGCTGCAAGCTCTCTGGTTCCACAAAGCTGGCTTTCACAGGCCTGCGACTTCCAATCTCGCAGGTTCTCCATCTTTTGTCTCTATGATTTGCTGCTCTCAGGAACATTGTTATATGAAGAGGATTTTATCATGGTGGGCTCTCACTTTCCTTTTTTTAAAAAATCCACATATGAAACCCTCAAACAAAAGAAATACACAGTCTAGTTTTACCCAGTAGATTGTGTCATCGGAAGCTTTGAGGGAAAGGGGAAAAGAAATTAGTTTATGAAGTAAAACTGAAGCAATTAAAGGATCAAACTCACCTTAAATTTTTCTACAAAGACACACTTTCCATGCATGGACAGCACCCAGTTCTTTTCAAGTTTTATAGCTGCCCTGTTTTGGCAGAAAAAGTCAGGAAGTTGCTTGTTGCACACAAGACTCTTATAAGCCTCTTTGATTTAAAAAAAAAAAAAAAAAAGGATGAAAAGACAAGCAAGAAACACGGAAACACTAACTTTAAAGACCTGAGAGCAGCAGGCCTCCCCTTTCCTCTGCTCCTGTTCTCAGCCTGCAGACCCTCAAACTGTTTCCCAAATGCATGCACTGCAGCCTCGGGGAGAACAGGTAAAAGAAAATTCTAGCCTTTGATAGTCTTAATTTTGTTTTCTGGTTCTCTCTGTGAAATATAAACCCACAGCTGATTATCCCAGGGACTAGATCTTAAAAGTACAAGATTGGCTGGTGTCCAGGACAAACCCTGGTGAGGGGCCTGCTCTCTGCCCCATGCTCTTCTACCCTCTTTGGCTTTGGCACCATGTTTGTGGAGCTGTCCTGTTTCACCACTTAGCCAAGGATGTGGCTCCTGCAGCCAGAGCCCTCTGTTCCAAGGAGGCCAGTCCTCCCTCCAGGGCCAACTCCTGGACTTCCTCAAGTGGAACCTCACAAGGAGCTCAAACGAGGACAAGCATGAACCCCTGCACTCTTCTCCACAGGTAGAGCCAACCCAGCTGACCCTCATTTCCTCAGGAACCTGGTAACAACGTGCAGTAGCTGAGGTGTTTGGGAGGAAGAAGAGTGAGTAGAACTCTGTTATAACTGGTGTCTTGGCATTGCCTTGAGGAGGGAGCCCAATGCATGGCTGAGGTACAGGCTCCATGCTCTGGCCCCACATAACCACACAGCGGCCCAGGGAGACACCACACAATGGGACTTCCTGTGTGCTCAACCTGTGATGGGCCTCCACTGCACTTCTTAAAGTTTCTGAGTGCCTAAGGCCACTCCTTACAAATCCCTCACCCACAGTCCATGTGTTCATTGTATAGATGATCCAATAAAAATATTAATAATGAACTAACAAAGAAAGAACTTAAGCAGCTAATAAAATACTACAGGATACATTTTTTGAGTGTTTGAAATTTAATGCGAGATGAATGAGGGGTAAAAAAAGACCTGGAGAAGATGATTGCTTCAAAGTCAGTCTGATCTAAACACTTTGATATGCTAATGGCATAAACTGCATTAGATGCAAGGATATGGTGATGTTAGATGCTTTAATTGTGCGTATTAAGAGCCTAGTTGGAAAGTAGAAGGTGTCGCTCACAGATAAGGGAACTGGGCCTGAATTTTATAACCTAATTTAATTAGCACTGATCTGAGGTTGCTAGTACCTGGTTTTTCCAGTTTTCAGGAAATATACCTTTGCCTGGGAGGTAAGGGTGTACAGAAGGGAAAGGTGGATGGAGGGCAGATGCAGGGAGGGGTAGGGGAGTGGGCTGTGAGACATGAAAGGCTCCAATATTGAATTTCATCTGCGATGTGATCAAACCTCAGGCCTCCTTCTCTTCACTTGCCAATAGTGCACGGAGAGCCACACCTCTCCTACATCAAACATTCAATTACCATAAACCCAGGGAAGGCCAAAGGAGACTCTCAACTGCAGCAGTCACTGAAGGAGAATGAAAGACATGCACAGACTCCCAAAGGTAAGGGGAAAATACCCAAATCCTCTAAAGCCTTTGACGCTCTGGAGGAGAAAATCCTTGCAGGTGAAAGCCTTCTGAGGACCTTCCTGTGTTTGCAATTTCTTATTTTTAATTGATTTTAGAGAGAGAGGACAAGAGGGAGAAAAGTAGATTTGTTGTCCCACTCATTTATGCATTCATTGGTCTATTCTTGTATGTCGCCTGACCAGAGTTCGAACCTGCAACCTTGGTTTATTGGAACAACGCTCCAACCGAGCTATCTGGCCAGGGTGCAATTTCTTTCTCTCACTAGAACACCTATACCTGGGAACAACTGGGACATTTATAATCATGAAGAGATATAACTATGACCTTGGGTCTCAGACCTCCCTCCCCATACACACAAACACACATTTTCTGATTTAGTGGAACAATTTTTAAATGTTTGAGGGAATGTTAAGTAAGAGTAAGTTTTTAGGAAGTGAGTGTAAAATAGGTAGGTTGTGTTATTGAACATAAAGAGCCTTAGGTTATTAAAAATATTTTTTAATATTAAGCTAAATTTATAGGATTTAATTAGAATGCACAAATTATTTTTTATTCTAAATGTGCAGTTAAGTATGTCTTTGTCATACTACATGGTTGGTGGAATTTCTTCCAAATGTGATGTACCTGTAGTTGTCTGGAGCCTCATTTGATGAAGAAGGACTGGGTCCCTTGGCGGAAGCCTACCTGTGGGGCTGGCCATCACTGAGTGAGCAGTGAGTTTCACTAACACAAGCAGCGGCAAAGCTATGATTTTCTAAGCTCTCATATGGATTTATCTTCAGCACTTTTCCCTTAGAATTGGTTTGCTATTTGCTGTTCCATTTTGCTCACAGAAATCTGGATCTTTAAGTGGGAGTCTCTTAGCTGTCAAAAAATTATCCTCATTTCAGATACTGGTTACCATGGTTTTTCTCTTAGTTAGAATAAGAACTTTTATTGCCCACATTTTGGGTTTCGTATTCAGTGCCGGGAAGCATGGACAGCTCCAGGACTTAATTCCTTTTTGTCACAGTTGAATGTGTGGGGTTGCTGTTGTTGAGCTGTGGTGTAAAACAAAAGGACTGTGATTTGGTCTAGAAATCACATGGCCTGGGGCATGCTTCTGGCTCTAGAACATTTGAGAGATGGAAGGTATCTGAAAGACCATCTTCAGTCTACTGTAGTTGCCACTAGTCATATGTGTCTTTACATTTACATTAATTAAAGTTTATTAATATTAAAAAAAACCTCAGCTCCTCAGTCACACTAGCCATGTTTGAAGTGCTCAGCAGCTTCACGTGGATATGGACCATTATATTGGACAGCACCTGGCTCAGCCACCTAATCTTAAGGCTCAGAAAATGACCAGAAATCAAGTGCAGGGCTGGCCAGCACTGGAGCTGGGCTGGACGCTTCTTGCTGCCTGGTTCATCATTAGTCCCAGGGTGTGGACATCTTTTCTACCAACTCCCACTGCCTTCCTTCTTTTTACATCTTTCCAGAGAATGGGAGCATTGACCAGAGTTCAAACCTGCAAGGGCCCCTGATTTGCAGGTTGCAGGTCAGGGCCAGGCATTACCATGAGACCCCAAGCCTGAGAATTGCCCCAGATCAGTCATAACATTCAGAAAAGGCCCAGGCTTATTCTTCTGCTGAAATCCTCTCGTGACTGTTTTGCATCCCGACTGTGACAGTAGACACTGATTGTGTGGGAGATATCTCACTCTAATTTTGCAAGATGAGACCACTGGGGTAAAGGGAACGTGAGATCTTTCTATATTATTTCTGACAGTTGCAAGTAGACCTATAATTATCTCAAAACAAAAAGGTTAATTATTTTTAAGTGTTCTTTGTATTTCTTAAAAATCAAATCATATTAAAGTTAATGTCTGTTCTGGGTATCTCGGTACCAGATTGCAAATTGCCTTTAAAGCAAATTGAATTTTTTTTTCTTATTGTTCCCATGAATTTTAATTTCACTAGATGTGGAGTTCATAAAGATCTCTATGCTTATAGCAGCCATTTTACATTTGCCCAGAATTTCAAGTAAGAATGCACAGTATAAACTTTGGGATGCAGTTTGCCAAAACTGTCAGGCATCTCTGTTACTAGATTTGCACACAGCTCATGACTGAAGCTGGGAAGCACAGCCAGCTGTGGCCTCTGTAAGGCCTGGACACCGCCTTGTCGGTGACAACAATTGATCTTTACCAACATGCAGGGCCACAGGGTTTATTCCGTTCACTGGACTATTGCTGTTGAAATTACTAGCGAGAGGTAAGGTACAATGGGCAAACTCTTTCCATCTCTGTGTGCCTGTCTTTGGTTATCCTAGAACAACACTAGTATTACTTGTCATCTTAACATAGCTATTAAAGAGCAAGGATCTTTTAATTTATGCTTTTCTTTCCGTGGGAGTCTGGTCAGTCTCGTGGACCAAATGGCAGTGTGTTTGGCTTGAGAAGTGTGTGTGCTAGCTAGCATCATGTGGCATGATGGGCGCTGGGAGAATGTTAGCCTTGGGTGGGAAGCTCTTGGTTGGAGTACCTTTCTCATCATTTATTGGTTGTGTGAACTTAGACAACTGATCTAACCCAGGGGTCCTCAAACTTTTTAAACAGGGGGCCAGTTCACTGTCCCTCAGACTGTTGGAGGGCCGGACTATAGTTTTAAAAAATCTATGAACAAATTCCTACGCACACTGCACATATCTTATTTTGAAGTAAAAAAACAAAACGGGAACAAATACAATATTTGTGTTTGCATGTGGCCCGCGGGCTGTAGTTTGAGGACCCCTGATCTAACCTCTTTAATCCTTGACGTCTTTACCTGTAAGACTGGCACAACAAAGCCCAGCTATTTCATGAGATTTCATGAGAGGAACTTCAGTTAATGTGGTGAAACGTGAGTGACTTGCCAGAGTGAAAGCGTAGGCAGCACCATCCCTGCTCCCTGAAATGCCAGGCAGGGGTGCCCGGGGAGTGTCCCACACCCTGGCCCGTGACAGACTTCATTTTCCCACTTGCATTTCTTTGTAGGTTTCCCTTCTGCGATTAACAAACAGGGTCTACACAAGGAGAGACAAAATCTCTCCCAGATTTTATCCAAACTGTTTTACTCTGGGAAAAAACATCAGGACTCAGGACTCATCTTGTGACTGCAACTCCCTCCTTGGTTTCCCTGAACCCAGCTGGGGTTTTCTTGCAAGTATCAGGTTGGAAAAGAAAGTTTTACTTCCTTTGTCCTTCCAGCACTGGGCCACTCCTGTGTAGCCATGGCCCAACACTCCGGCTACAGAGGTGCCGCAGCAGGTCAAAAGACTGGCTTCATTTCTGACCCTCTCCATGGGGCCCTGTAAATCCTTGCCACCCACCTAAAGCTGAGTTGAGCCCAGGGCCCCTTGCAAGAAATTGAGTTCACTTTGACTACAGAGCTTCAGAAAAGAAAACAATTATAGCACCTTCTGCCAATGAACAGTCATTTAATAGAAGTATCTATGTGTTTTAGAATTTCCATAACCAAAAAAGCAGTTCCATCTTTATTCTTTCATTACAAATCATGTTCATTTTTCTCTCTGGGACTCCAAAATTTAGTCAGGAGCCAACAGGATTCCAAAGTGATGGCAGTTCTGTGGAATCTGCCCCATGCCAGCCAGGAGAGGCACTTGAGGGAGGGACTGCCAGGTGGCCCAGCTCTTCTGCATCTGGTGGATCTTTGACCCAACAATTCTGCCACTAGGAATTTATCCTAAGGGAAGAGTTAGAGTGCCTTACACTGTGTAATTTAAATACATTGTGATATCTTAATATATAAAGAGGTAATATGCAAATTAGGCCGGGACACCATAACAGGACGACTGAACAGGAGGAGGTTGAGCACGCAGGTGAGGCCCGGAGTGAAGACGGAGACAGAGATGGGGGCCTGCCCAAGCCAGCACGGCAGCTCCGGTGGCCCGGAGTGGAAACAGGCAGGGGGGTTGGGAGGCCTGGGGCGGAAGTCAGGCACAGGTCCCAGCCTCCTGCGGTGCCAGTCCGGCCTGACTCCCACTGCGGCCCACAGGGCGCCTCCTCGTGTGCGATTTCAATCGCCACTGGGCCTCTAGTTAATTATAATATTGAAAGACATTGAAATAAACTTGAATGTCCAATCCTAGAGAATGGATTAAATACTCATGGTACATCCATATGGTAGACTACTTTGTAGCCATGTTCCTGAAGAATATTTCTTGACAAAGGAAGGTGTTTATAAAGTTATTAAACAAAACAGGATACAAAAGTGTATATACCAAATATATAATAGAAGGAAATATATCAAAATGTCAATAATGTTTCTGAATGATAGGACTACGGTAATTTTTAAAATACATTTTTATTGATTTCAGAGAAGGAAGAGGGAGAGAGAGTAGAAACATCAGTGATGAGAGAGAATCACTGATTGGCTGCCTCCTGCATGCCCCCCACTGGGGATCAAGCCTGCAACCTGGGCATGTGCCCTGACTGGGGATCGAACCCTGACCTCCTGTTTTATAGGTCAACATTCAACCTCTGAGTCATACCAACTGGGCTACAGCAACTTTTAAAGTTTCTTCTTTATACTTTTATATATTTGAAAACTTCCTACAATTAGTATATACTGTTTTTACAGTCAGAAAATTATGAAAAAAATTCATAATTTTTCTGAAGCTAAATAATGAGGTCACCATCCATTTTTTTTTGTTTGTTTGTTTGTTTGTTTGGTGAGAGGGCAGTGGAGACAGAATTGTGTACTGGTTCCTCATGCTCCCTCCCTTCCAGAAGTTCTAGAAAATACTCATACTTGATGGTCTGGTTTTAAAAATTTCTGAGATCTAGTGTTTTAGAGGGGTGCTTTGCTCCATAAAGGCACTCACCATCAAGATCACCTTGTGAACTCAGCCCATTCTCCACTAAAACTCTAAGGTTCTGAGCACCTGTGTTTTGTTTAGTCTCCTAGGAAAATGTCAAGTCAGCTCCTGAAATCACAGAACCTTGTGGAATTGTTGACTATAATGCTCTCATTTCTCATATGAGAAACTGTACCCGGAGAGACCCCGTGATTGCCTAAGATGCCCAGGCCAAGCCAGGAGGATAGCTCACCCACCTGACTCTGGTCTGTTGGCACTCTATCAGATCCTCCATGAGCTACGAGCTGCCTGCGATCCTGGCTGGTAGTTAGGGGCACCCATCCTTCCTCCCTGGAGGAAGTGTTTCCTCAAATTGCCAGTTGCCTCCCATTAGTATATTGCGAAATCAATTTATGGCTCAAGACTAGCAGTTTTTGATGGAGTGGAAAACACAGTATAGCCCTGTATAGCATGGGCTAGAGTAGAAAATGTCATGTTTTATGAATCTCCTATTTCAGATAGATATGCATGTGCTCATGGGCATGTGTAAGTGTTGTAAAAGGAGGCTCCAGTTCCAGGGTGACACACCTGTGGAACAGTTAATGTCTCAGAAGACACAACTTGTTCATTTTCGTAAGTGTTTTGTGTCAAGCTGCTGAATAAGCAGCAAACACTTGGCTCTAGTCATGCAGACACACTCACAGGAAAACCTCAGTCCAGCCCTTTCTGTAAGGCTGACTTCTCACAACTGCCCATGGCCTCAGCAGCCATTTGCTGAGCACCCAGCCCTAAGTTCTCAGAGCACACCCTACATCCAGGCGCTGGCCTGGCTGAAGGCCCCAATGGTGTGTGGGGCCCAACCCCCTCCTCAGCCGGGTGACTGCCATGGGAACCATTGTCTCTTGGAAACCTTACAACTTGAGTCCTTTGTCACAGCATTTGAACATCACAAAAAAACAAAGCAGTATTTTGTTCATGAAAAATCCATGAGGACTCCAGAATGGACCAGAGCATGGTGAACTCCATGTGGCAGTCTCTCCTGGCCTGGGAACATGACACTTTAACTTCTCCAAGCCAACATTGGCTCACTCCTTCCTCCATCAGCATTGGCTCGCCCCTCCTCCGTCCCCACCTTCCTGGACTCTTTTCCAACACTCTCTAACAAGCAGTTTGATTTCCATTTTTTAGACTCACCTCCAGGCATCTGGCCCATTATATCCTCTGCATCACAAACATTGGGAAACTTCAACTTCCTTTCCATATGTCTTGCTCCCTGGGAAAGCAAATTGCCAACTCCAGGCCACCTTCTATTGTGCCTACCAGGCTATGTGAGTCTCCTAGGCTCAGAACCAAGGCTACATGAGCATCATTGGCCCCTCTGCCCACACTTTACCTTGTTGGCTTCACTGAAGCCTTTGCTTCCCCTGAGTCACTCCCACCTCCTTACACACCTCATTAGGCATCCTCCCAACACGTTCTCGGAGGCAGGAATTCATGAGAAGCCACAGTGAACTAGATGTTGACACAAATTATTCTCTGACTTGCCCATTTCCTAAGCATGACCTTGAGAGGAGTGTCCCATTCTCTGTGTGTGCCAATTCCAATTGCCTCTCCACCAGCCTCAGAGGCTACTTCACAGGAGGACGGTATTTCACTACATGGCTATAGCCCTTCGATTCTCTTGCAAACTGTGTCATCATCCTGCCCCAAACCTAGTGTCTTTTCTCATCCAGCCATGGGCCTGAAGTGCTCACTCTCTCGGTTGATCTTTCTGGTTGGCCTTACGGTCACAGCATCTCAAGCTATCAGAAGCCTCACTGTTGGGCGTTTAGGCCTCTGTCTATAAACAAAAGAATGTGCGCTTTTATCTACTTCATAAAGCCAATGGTTAACAGCCCACTGAGAGCCACCAGGAAATTCATGGAGATCTCAAGCCTGAGAGCTGAAACTGCAGAGGCCTGAGGACTAGATTTCAGCCACTTATCTGTAGGGGGAGCACTAGGAGAAACCAGAGCCCAACATCTGGCCTTCCCATTTCTAAGTGAGCTGTCCTGGAGAAGGAGGGAGGCTGTGTGATGCCCTCTAGCTGCCCTCCTGCCCTCCTGCCCTCTGCCCCCTGCCTTCTGCCCAAGCAAACCCTCCTCCACCAACCTTTTAACCTCAGCCCACTAAGTGCATTTGCCTGTTTTTATTTTGTTTTACCTGCTGAAGGAAGGACTATTTCATGGTTGTTAATGAAAGTGATAGCAATCCCCTGTGTATTTATCTTAGATTATGTGGTCGTTATAAGATGAAGTACTTCAAGCAGCTAGTCTGCGGTTGATTTGAAAACAGACGAGTCTCAACAATGAGCTTAAGGAAAGGTGTCAGGTATAAATCTTGTCTTCAAACAGCCAGCGTACATTCCAGACTTCAG